TGCATACCAAGAATCTATGTAACTTATGGATTTTTGTTTTGATGACCAAGGAAAATCAACAATAATATCTCAGAGAAACTGTTTCATTGAGCTAGGTAATGGTTAAGTTTTTGAGTAAGTATTGGCCTGTGTGCTTGTTGAATATATATATGAGGGCACAAATAATAGCACACATGTACTGAGCTATACAGTGCAGAGCTATATGGTACGGTGTATGCAAATGAGTGTTATGCAAGGGTAGAATTTCACGAGAACTGGTTTGTTGGTTTTTTTGAAACTGTCCCATTTGTTTGCTTTTTAAAAAGCAATGCCTGAGCTGAAATATGAGTCATTTTTCATGCCAATTAGTCTTGCTTTGATTTTTTTTAAAAGGAGACTGAAAAATCACATAGTTGTTAGGATGTGGTGTGTGTAACATAAAATTTGCGTGTTACATCACTTCTGTTTAGATTGCTTCGCAAAGCATTTGCTCTGTCAAAACAGAACTTAGACAAAAAGCATGGCACCTGTGTATTCCTGATGGGTCTGAAATTTCACTGTGTCCAGTCTCTGAGCTCTACCAAACTGTTTGGTCTTTATGTAATCTATAGAAGTAATGACTTCTAGAAGACATGCTATAGTATCGAAGTTAACAGATGGTACTGAACTTTCACACTGTCAAAAAGCCAAGCCACCTATTTATGTGTCTATCTACATAAAGGTACGTAGGCTCTGGAGACTTGCTTTACAACCCCTGTTATTTTCCCTCAAATATTTTTCTCCTCTGGGGGTGTCTTTTTCAAGACTCAGTTGTGGGTGAATTTTCAAAAAAATTTTTTGACTATTTTAAAACAACAGGTTCCTATCTGCTACTGGAAGCTAAAGCTGTATTATTTTGTCATGGGAGCTGGATTTCTGACTTGTTAAAACAGTCACAGTTTACCTAATCCAGTAGTTAGTGGCAAGAGACAGGCTTAAAATCAAATGTATCATGGTTGCAAGTTGAGTTGGAGCCATCTCCTAGCTGTCTCATTTCCTTTGGAAAGCTGTTGTGGACACTTGAAAGGTGTTTCAGGAAGAAATTGATGTTGCCTCCATTTTTAAAATAAAGAAGTATCTGAGCTAATAAGGAAGCACTGTTTTTAACAACTCAGATGAAAACTCTTCTCTACAAGGCAGATTTCCCACATCACTTCTTGACAGCTTTCCAAAGTGAACTGCATCCAGTTGATATGGTAGCTATTAGCAATGGGAGGTTGGATTTTTGTTTAAGTTGGATTTTTGCTGGTATATAATATCCCGCTCCTGTACTACATTATGCATGCCTGCACTAAAATACTCAGGTGTCAGTTGAATAAAACCTTCTCTCTGTGCAAGGGAACCCAACTCCTCTGGTCAGGAGTTACTCAAAAAACAGTTTGTTTTGGTCCTTTTCTCAAAGTTCATCTCTTTTGAAGTAGAGCAAATATATGAGATTTTGAGCTCTTTGGAGCACAGAACAATTATTGTTCTGTAAAATGAAATGCATGCTTCATATTTTGAAAGTATAGTTTCCATTGATCTGTTGCAGCTGCATTTTGTGTTTACATTTTGTATGAACCATATGAAAAACAAAGAATACCATGGCGTTACCTGTGAACAGTTTGGTCTCGAGTATTTGTTCGGTGTGAGACAGGAATTACTACCAGAAGGCAGCACAGGATGCAATTCCTCCACAACTACATTGTTTTCCTTCCTGCACTTTCCCTCCCTGCCTTTCTCCTTAGAAACTAGAAATGTAGAAATTTCTGCAACAGATGATCCAGGGAGCTTGCAAACAGCGCACCTCCATTCTTTCCCAGCGTGGGACCATCCAGCACTGTGGATGAGGCAGTGATCCTACGGAAAAAAATAATGGGCAATTATTTATTAAAAGGCCATTTCTAGCATGCATGCGGTCCTGCTTCATTTTATTTCACTGTAGTCTTCTGGCTCCTAGTGCCCCTTTCTTTGTTTATTCCCGGTTTTCAGTCCTTAACAGCTCCCAGTACCGGTCCTTAATACTTGATATTATGCCTTTCCCATGCCTTTGTTGTTACGTCTTTCCAAAGCAGATGTAGACAACCCTGGATCCAGAATACCAGTAGCAGGCCTTTGCATTAAACTTTGTGAGTCATAGGAAACATACTTACCTCTTGGGTTTGAGGCTGTTTCTTCAGCCCATTCCTTCCTGCCATACGGACATTCGTTTTCTTGTGCACAGCAGCATCCAGGTTCATGGATGCAGGCTACAGATGTAAGAAATCCAAC